GGCAATTGAGGAGAAGCGTGGCCTAGAAGAGCACTGATAGAAGTCAACAAAGCCTGATGGTTGGCTGTTGCCTGCGTAGCAAGGTCCTGCTTGAGAGCAGCAAGTTGATCTTGAACTTTAACTGCTACTGCATCCACGATGGCAGCTACATCTATCTGACCAGCATTGGTAGATAAATGTCGACGTGTAGGAGGTTGGAAGTTGTGATGAGAAGCCGCATCCAGAGATATGAGCTTGCCGCCTAAATATATATGAGATTTGTTTGATCTATATAGATAGATAAATGTGCTCACCTGGAACAAGCTTGAGAGTAGCATGCCATCGAACAGAGGTCTCGAGAAAAGGATCGAGGTAGTCTTCTGCAAGACTAGTAGAACCTCGTGCTGTAACACCATAGCGCATGTGGTCCACATGATGTGAGTGACCAGCCTGTGCTGCATCGGCGGTCTCCTGATCCTCCAACCACTTCTCTTGTAGCCCAGCATGCTGACGTCGCAGAGGGGTAGACACCTGCCTCCAGTCACGTACTCCCAGCTCATAGCCAATGTATTGCTTGGTCCAGTTGCGCATTTCCTGAGTGATATCATCACCCACAAAAGGCTTATTGTGGTTGATGAAGAGGAAGTTTTGGTAGAGGGATTTGACATAGCGATCGTTGGGATAGAGGACATTGACACAGAGTTGAGCAAAAGGGTGGCAGAGGGCTTCTTTGTAGATGAGGAGAGCAGCGAGAGCAGCGTTGAGGGAATGAGGAATGACACGGTCATGACCTTGAGCAGTACGCATCTTGTGATAGGAGCGCATCAAAACGACATGCCCATCGATGATGCGAATAGCTCGAAGCATGCCATAGAGCGTGTTGCAGCGTGCCATGGCAGTAAGTTCCGTAGTGCGAGGAGGTGCACCGCAGTTCATCTCCACCTGAACAAGACAGAGAAGGTCGAGCTTAGCATAGTTGGAAAGCCAGGCACCTAGAGCAATAGCATTCCACTGGATCTCTCCATCACGTGTGGAGAGAATGAACCGTGAACGAAGGGAGGGAGTGTCGAGGATGTGCTGGGTGAGCTGATCAGTGAACCCCAAAACAGGCTCATTTGCACGATCAGTGAAGAGAGAGTAGCCAGGAGTGGAGTTCCCCATGTCATCTTTGAGCTGAGAGATGTCGATGAAGAAGGGATGATCAAATAGAAGGACTTCAGTCAGAAGTTGACGAGAGTAGTCTTCTAGAGCAGCGGCCTGTGTAGCCAGCTTCTCTAGACTAACTTCGTGACCTTTGAAGATCAAGGATGTGAAGTTAGAATCATCCTTCCACTTCATGTTGGGCTCGTTCTGAGTGGACATGGTGATGGCAGAGGCTCGATGCTGAAGAGTGCGAATGGTGTGGAAAGTGGATTCTGACCCCTCGGTGAACCAGAGACGAAGAGAACGAGCAGCTGCAGTGACAGAACTGAGATGGGGGTCGGAGCTGTGAAGGTTCCAGGACTGCTTCAGGAACACAAGCCGCTAAAGTACAGTTTTTTAATAGATAGAGCTGATAATCATATTATTTATACTCACCATACAATATGTCAGCTTGGCAAGGACCCCAGTGACATCACGAGGGTCCTTGAGAGTTCCATCTTGATTCATCTGAGTGCAGACGATAAAACGAACAGTGGGATCAGGAATTGGGTTCTCCTTGACATTGCCATCTAGAATGAAAGGTGATGGGATCCATTCTGTTGTCCAGATAGCGACCAAAAGAGCATGGAGCGTCTGATAGATGGTTTCCACTGGATCTGGGCCAGACTCTTCAACAGCTTCAACGAGTGATGCTGTGTCTAAAGCCTGAATCAGATTGTCGAGAAGTGCCACAATGGTGTTGGGGAGTGGGAGAGGATGGGTAGGGCTGGGACGGGTGCGAAGCAGATATAGAATGAGTTGGGTAAGAAGACGCTGGCAGTTGGTGAATGATGAAGGATCTTGATGCATATGGAATGGCGTATGGTTGAATGTGCTAATTTATAAATGTCAGCAGAATGTTGACCATAATACAACTAGTGAACATACTCTGTAAGAGTATCTGTGTTGAGAATCTGTCTACAGATCTCAGAGGTACGAGGGATCAAGTTGTAGGCTCGTTCCAGATATTGATACACAAATGTTCTGACCAGATCGAGAGAGTTTGCATGGGAAGGCTGCTGAGGAATGTCGATGAGGATAGGCTGAGCATAGGCAGAATGGTCGTGCGTAAATGTCTGCCAGCCGGTAGTGATAAGCCAGGGGTTGATGTGACGGACATCAATTTGGTCAGAGTCGAGAGCAGGACGTTGATCAAGTTGTTGACGTAGAGTAACAAGGTAATCAGAAGGGGGGTTGAAAGATTGTGCAGAGAAGGGGTAGACAGGGAACCAGGACTTGGCAAGAGGGTGTTGAGAAAAGCGCTGCATCCAGGCCTCTTCAAGCACTTTGTTCCAGGTGGAAACATTGTGCTTTTCGTTGCTATGTTTGTTGACAGACTTTGGAGTACTGAACATCTCTCCACAAGTAGGACATAGAAGGCCATAAGCAGTGGGAAGACCAGCATATGCCGGACAGATTGCTGTAGGTTTTTCTGGCCATTCCAAGATGAGATTCTCCTTAGAGATGATAGAATTAAGGAGATCTTTATCAACTTGAATCTTGGTGACAGCATGGGTGACTTCGATGTGCTTTGCAGCCTTCGAAGTACACACAACTGTCTGGCAGTCGATGCAGATAAAGCAGCGAAGGCGACGGTTGATGCGTAGGCCCCACTGAGACAGAGAACCATCTTCTACATCATAGAGCTAGCAGTGGTGATTAGAACAATGGTGAATGTGAAAAGAGGGGAAAAAACCCACTTCATCTAGATGTGCTGGCTGAGTAGTGGATGCTGAACCAGTTGGCTGGGCATCAGCTATTGAGGGAGAGCGGCTTCGATCAAGGTAGCTAACACTAGATCGCCGGCTAAGAACTTGCATATGAGAACCAGTAGGGGACATGGCCATCTGTTGGACAATATTAGAGGGCATATAACATACCAATTAAATGCAACGTACTGGAGCAGGTGAAGAGGAATAATGGTCATCATCCACCACCATTGCAGTAGGAGAAGGGGTTTTCCTTAACTCCTCAGGCGCCTGAGATGGATTAGAGATGAAACATGAGCACAGAAGCAATAGTGCTTACCACCCAATATTCAGGATTGGTCTTTTTGAGATGCTTTTCCAATCCGTTCTTGGTGGCATATCTGTTGTTACACTTGACTCCATTCCTAACACACTTGCAAATGATTTTATTGTTAGCATCTCTTTCAATTGGAATTTCAGGGCCTTGTTGATTTTTGAGATCATGAAGAATAGAAAACATATACTTGATACAGACTCTGGTGTGGTCAGACTCTGCTCCAGTGAAGCTAGCATTGCAGTTAGCACAGGTCTTAGATTGAGGCATGTTGAGCAAGAGAGATGAGGATAGAAAAGGTGAAGTGATGGTGAGCAGTGAGATGGTGGTGGTTTAGGTTTAAGTTGTGTTTAGTGGCTGTGCCACAGCCTAATGGG